GTTGCCAGCGGACTCTCCCAATTTTCAATCACCGTTTTAGTCATTCTTGGAGTTTTTCCTCGTTTTTCAAACTTGCGTCGGCAGGAATGCTGATTTGGCCACTGCTCAATGGCATAAAGCGACGCGATACTTTTGTTGTGTTGGAGATCGAACTTCTTCAGTTACAATACAGACATTTTGCTTATGCTACTTTATGCATTTAAGCGGCGTGCTAAGCTGACTTCCTCGCACCTTCTCCCGTTCCCTCTTTATCTCAGTGGCCGCCCTTGCATAAAGAGAAAATGCAAAAAATTTGCTGAAAATGCCCAGAATTTGACCCCTTGAGTGAAAATTGATCTGGGAATGTTAAAACTTATGTAAGGAAAAAAGCGGAGTCGGATCCAAGTACGTCGTAGAAATGCCTGGGCCAGGCATCGGGCACCGTTTCAGTGGTCATTGCCTAGGCTGGGTGTCACCCCGTTTTTATGCCTGATTTAGTGGCGTGCCCAGTTTTTATGCGTTTTTGATGTACAGCGTTATAGCGTTGCTACAGCTAGCAAAAAAAGCATATTGTCGAGAGGTTGTCTGTGTGTGTGTTCAGAAGCGATTGAATTTTTTCACTCAGTTTCATCTCAGCAACCAGGAAAGCTGGGAGGCTGAAATTTTGGGTATATGTTCCTACTCCGTGTGTCACCCTCCCGCTTTAAGATCTTCCCCCCACGCGCGTCTGAACCCCGCGTACGGACCCCCGAAAAAAAATATGCAAATTTGTTTGGCGGGAAACAATTTCGCCAACCAGGCAAGGTACAAAGCTGGAACTTAGCACGAATATTCTCTGTGCTTGTGCGAGCTAAAGATTTCAAATTCAGCTTTTGCGCACGTTTGTGCGGCGCGTATGATCACATCAAAGTTTGCAACTTGTTACCTTGCTAATTCGAAAACTTGCCGGAAAACAGTGGGAGAAATTTTAATATGTTTGTCGCCCGTATGGGAAATCGTATATCTAAAATGAGTAACTGATTTGCACTTGCGCCACGACTGGGGGCACTTCAATGATATTTGAAGCGAAGTGGATATTTCGTTTGCTGGATAAGCTGTTGAGGCTGGAAATTCGTTGGGATATTCTAA